TGTATAATCTCAGTGAGATTTATGAGGTTTTACACATGCACAGTTAGGCGAAAATTTTGAATGTGGACCGTACGACCTGGACACGTCAATACATTATGAGATATTTTCGTAAATAAAATGATCCTGCCAGAAGAATTGCATGTAAACATATGTCTATTTCGTCTGTATAATCTCAGTGAGATTTATGAGGTTTTACACATGCACAGTTTAACATTTTAGCTTGAAACGCTAATGTGGACCGAGAGCGTTTTAAAATAAATGCCATTTTCAAATGCATCCAGACTAATGTAGACAGAGCCTGAGTGAGAGGAAAAACAGATGCTTTCAAAAAACAAACCCTGCTCCAAATGCAGAAGTGAACCAACATGTATCAGAAAACTGAAGTGGAAACTGCAAACACTGCATTATTGAGCAACATTAGTATATTCCTCTATATGTTTTATTTTAAATCCATGTTTCTGTACATGTGGCAGCTCTAAAATTTGTCCCGTAACCATGATGAAGAAAGGTCCCATCACATTCCTAATTTCTCCTCATTAGTTAATTTCAGTCACTCCCACAACAGCATCACTGACAGTGACTGTGTTTAAAGCAGCGGAGCTTCTGCGGTCTCTGCTCTATAACACAGGAGCAGCTTCACACCATGTTTGTTCTGGGTCTGATCACCTGTGTTGTGCTGAGAGCATTCAGTGCTCAGGCAAAAGTGGTCCATAGCTTTAATGAGTGTGATGAGTTTTTCTACCTAGGCACAAAACCAAGAGGAATGGACCAGAATGCCAAGAAAATCTGTCAGAAGCTGGAAAATAGAGGTTTTTATTATGCTACTCTGTACTCAGTTCATCACAAGATCCCTCTCTACAGCGCCTACACATTGGACCCTAGATGTCCAAGCGACACTGAAAGGAAAGACATCTGGCAGCTCGAGCCACAGGTGACTATGAGCTTAATACAAAAGACTTTCATTCGCAGTTGAAGCTCAGCATTCTATAAGAAGCAGATCAGTTCATTAAACTATTGGTCTTCATTAATGGCTGCCCACTGCTCCGGGGGTGTGTTCATGGTGTGTGTGTTCACTGCTGTGTGTGTGCACTTTGGATGGGATAAATGCAGAGCACTAAGTCCGAGTATGGGTTTACCATACTTGGCCACATAAAAAAAATATATACTGTGTGTATATATGTATATATATATATATGTATGTGTATATGTATATATATGTGTATATGTATATATATGTGTGTGTGTTTTGTCATTACAAACCGTATGAAAAATACATAAAAACCCCATTCAATTAAAATTGAATTGGATGGTACTTTATTGAACATTGTCTTTTAGTGGACATTTTTAATGTTTACTGTACAATTATGGTAAAACAATGTAGACAGTAAGAAAGTCTTTCCACCTATGTATGAAATTTAGAAGGAAAAACACCATCAAAAGTATTTTCCTACAAGCAATAAAATATCAAATGACCATATAACATAACATTTCTTCTGCAGATTTCCCATCCTCGATCCCAAACTGATCATATGGTCCGTGAGGATCAAATTACTCAAAACCTTTATAAAGAAAATCAAGCCATCAGCAGTTACTACAGTGGCACGGGATATGATCGTGGACACCTGAACCCCAGCTGCTTCCAATGCGGAGACGGCCGTAAAGCGACATTCACACTGACCAACGCTGCACCTATGACAGTGCGTTTCAACCGTAAACACTGGAGGAACTGGGAGAGGACGCTGAAGGGTTATTTAATAAAGAAGCTTCTCAGGGATTTTGAGTCAACAACTTTCATTGTCACAGGTACAGTACCTGATCCTAATGTATGGATACCACAGAGGGAAACCTTTAAAGACCCAGAAAGGGTGTCGGTGCCCTCTCACGTCTGGACGGCTGTCTGTTATAAACGCTACCGTAATGACAGTAAGTCCTTATCCTTTGGCTTTATTGGGAGAAACCAGCAGGAAGAGCCTGACATACGCCTGATGAGTGTCTCAGACCTGAATGATCAGCTCAGCAGGCGTATGTCAGGCTCTTCCT